TCCGCCCCCCCCCCTTCCGCGGGTAAACTCCGAGCATCCATCAGTCTGTTAATTGCACTAATTAGAGATCGCGGAGGTGTTAATTGGAAAACCCTGGTATTGTGCCTGTTTGGGGGAAGAAAACGTCAATAAAAATTAATTGATGAGTTGGCAGGACGGGCAGCGCGGGTTCGCGGCGAGGCGTAGGGTGTCGTGGCAAATGTTACGGCTCAGATTAAGCGACTGTTAATTAAAATGCGACGGTAATTAATACTCCCCACGCCATATGGGCCCGCGAAAAGGCACAAAAGGTTTCTCCACGTGTAGGGCTCTGGTGTCTTTTCCTCTCTGCCTCCCAAAAGCACCCCAGGCCCGAGTGCCCCTTTGGCCCCTAGCTAGGTGCAACTCGTCACTTCCGGCAGGGAGGGGCCGAGGCGGACCCTGGTTAGTTCCAAGGAGGCGGTGCTGCCTTGGCTCCCACTGCTGTGGTGCATCATAGAGGCAAAAGCCTCAGGGAATGTGGGAGCCCCAGATGGCCACAGGGTTCCCCAAAGCGGAAGAGGTGGCTGTGGCTTTGACCTAGCTTCCTTCTGAGGATGGCTGCCGAAGCCTGGGCCTGACCATGGCTCCCTAGTGCTGACTTCACCAAGGGAATATAGGAGACTAGGATCTACCCACATGTAGCCCTCCAAATCCTGGATCACTCCCCCCTCAGACACACGCGCACCCTGCAAATGGGTCTCCACAACCCACGACATGTGGCGGGGGAGTGGTCTGGGAATGCTTAGAAGCCTAGTCTTAACAATTCTTAGGGGAATTTGAAACCGGTGCCCACTCCTTAGTGGCTTAGGGAAAAGCAGGGCCTGCGGCTGCTGAAGTCCATACCAAGCCTGAAAGGATTATTTTATGAAAGTAGCCCAGTGACTTGCTCAGGGCCACCGGGCTGGGACTAAGTGTTCTAATCTCTGCTTGTCTCTTTCCCTGCTGCAGGTGTTAAGTTACTCACTGCTACAGAAAGAGGTGACTCTGTATATAGAAGGGTCAGGAAGTCAGTAAGACAGGAAGGTAGGGATGAAGGGCTGCCCAGGGCAGCCAACTGTGACCCATGCTGGGTGGAGCCTTTGGGATCAGGGATTAAGCCATGACTCTAATAGTCTCCTGGTGACTCCCAGCACCATCCACCAACTGCCCTAGGGAGTCTCGTGGAGAGAAGAGAAACTGAGGCCCTGAGATGGAGGAAAGCAAAGGGCTCATGGCTGATTTGTGACAGAGCCTAGGCTGCCATCTCTCCTAGCCAGGGCCATAAGGCGAGTACCAGTGATTTGCCCCACCCCTCCTAGTTACGAGGCACTGGTAACAAAGTTACTCCCAGAACCCCACCCCACCCCACCTCTAGCTGGCTGGGCCCCAGACATTAGTGCCTGTCACCTACAGCACACCCCATCTTCATTACAACATTGTTGAGGGATGGGTAGGATCCGGAGGCTGGAGATTGGTGGTGTACTCAGTCTCGGAGGGCAGGTGTGTCAGGGCAGAGGTGAGGATTCCCAGAGGGCCTGGAAGTCCCTGCCAAGTGGGTTTGAGGGGCTGGTGCTGGTGGGTGGGCGGGAATCCGGAAGGAGGTATCTGGGTGTGTGTCAGTGGGCAAAGGCCCCAGGAGGGGGCAGGGCACTCTGTAAGGGAAGGGCTGCTATTCATACACCCTGTGGAAGTGCCTCTTCAAATGCATATAGTCTCAGCATGCAAATGAGAGGCTCGTTCAATGTGAATGACCGTCCCCTGAATACCTGTTATTACGTGGCACATTGCCACAATTGTGTTGTTCACTTAGTATCGCTATACCCCTCCCCCTTCCCAAAATGATGGGAAAGGAAGGCACGCCTCTGTTAGCACCCTCCTTCCTTTCCCAAACTTGCTGTCAAAGCTACAACTTTGCTGTATTCCTGTGAATGCTGGAAGGGGACCACTTTCCCTTCCCTGGGAGAAAGGGCTGCCAGATTCTTGCATTCTCCTTACTCACACCTCTGAGGCCCAGGAGTTCTCAGATCTCAGAGCAGCTGGTTTGGAATTCTGAGCCGGAAGCTGCTCTCTATCCTAGCAGGGCTGGAATTGGACGCCAGTGAGAGCCGAGTGGGCAGTGAGCTCCCTGCCATCTTGCCATTCCCTCACCCCTGGCTGAGGCTCAGGCCGGAGCGGGGGAAGTTGCTCCTGTAGTTTGCGGGATGGGTGGTTTCAGGGGAGGGGGCTGAAGCCCTGTGCTGTGGTGGATGGAGGCCAGAGCCTACCCATCCATCATCTGGCAGCTTCTAGCCCTGGGGCTGACACGGTTATTAAAGGCTTGGGACCAAGTGCGCAATCTTTTCCAAACCATCACCTCCACACGCTCCCCTCTGCTCTAGCTCCTCTGAGAACTCAGGAGTGGGAACACAGGGGGTGACATTAAGGCCACTTACATAGTGCATGGGCGCTTTAGGATCCCTATCCACAATCCTCCACAAGAGAGGCAGTCAAGTCAAAACTTGAGAAGGCTAAAGCGGTGGTATGGCCACAGGCCCCCCCCCCCCCACACTCTGGTCCCATCAGGGAAAGGCTGAACGGGTGGCCCAGGGGAGAGAGGGAATGGCTTACAGGTAGGGATGGGAGGAAGATGCTACTTGGTGCTTCACCCTGGGAAGAGGAGTAATTCAGCCACTTCTTACAGTTTCCTTAATCTGCTAACCCGAAGAGCCTCATCCTGTTGGCTGAGAAAGACATGTAGTTATCTGGTTGTTTTCTCCAGTCCTTGCTGGATGTTCAAGTGGCTTGATCCTTGTGTGACATCAGACAAGTCATTCGCCTCTCTGAACCTTATCATCTTTGCCCTCACAGTTAGGGCGGGTGGAGAATGGGCTGATGAGGGCTTACTTGGGTAGGCGCCTTCATTGTAAAGGACACCAAGAAGCTGGGGTTGAATATTTTGACAGCTAAGGAAACTGAGGTTTGGGAGTCTGAGATATATTAAACAACAGTCCATGGTGGGCACCAACTGTTCCTTTTAGGGTGATTGATTATTTGTGGGATAGTATAGAGTCTAGAATTTGAGAAGAGCTTTTGTGTGTGTGTGTGTGTCTGAGAATGCACATGCTAGTGAGTCCTGGGGGGCGTGAGGCAAGGTCTTACTATGGCACTCAGGCTGGTCTTGAACTTGCGATCCCTCTGCTTCAGAGTCCCAGGATCACAGGCATGCACCTGGGGTTAAGACGTACACTACTCCTCCTAGCTTCAGAACAGCCTTTTGTGCTAACCATCCCCCTTCTGTAGTGTGTGTGTGTCAAGCTTTCGGAATGTTCTACAACAGGAGAAGGGAACTCCTCACCCCTCCCTCTCCCCGCTGTTCACTGCCCCAATTATATCAATTATATCCGCTCTCTGGAGATTTTACAGCCCCTCCATGTGACCATATTTAAGGAGGAAGCATTTGGGCCTTGACCCTCATGCTTTGGATCAGATACTTGACTTTGGGACTGGAGAGATGGTTCAGTGGTTAAGAGCACTGGCTGCTCTTCCAAAAGACCCTGGTTCGATTCCCAGCACCCACATGGCAGCTCACAGTTGTCTGTAGCTCCCGTTCCAGGGGAGCTGATGCCTTCTCCTGGATTCTGCATACACATGTGGCATAGACATACATGAAAGCAAACATGGCCTACACGAACCCATACACATAAAATAAATGTTTTAAAAAGACACCTGATTTCTATTTTGTTTTCAAGACAGGGTTCCTCTGTGTAGCCCTGGCTGTCCTGGAACTCACTTTGTAGACCAGGCTGGTCTCGAACTCACTGAGATTCACCTGCCTCTGCCTCTGCCTCCCGAGTGCTAGGACCAAAGGTGTGCGCCACCACCACCCGGCAGCACCTGATTTTTCATTAATTTGTTCACTTGGTTTATTTTTTCCATGTTTATTGTTTTGTTTATGTGTTGTGTGCATGCACACTTGTGTGGATGCCTGTGGCAGTCAGAAGAGGGCGTAGGATCCCCTGAAGCTGCAGTTGGGAGCACTCCTATTCTATTCGTGTGCTGGGAACTAACAGCCAGGGCTCTTAACCTCTGAGCCACCTTTCCAGCCCTGTGCTTTTGTTTTTGAGGTGGGTTCTCCTGTAGCTCAGGCTGGCCTGGAGCTCCTACCAGACTCCCAAACTGAGATTATAGGTGTGAGAGTTTTCCCCCTTCCTTCCCCGCCCCAGTTTCCTTACTGCTAGGAATGGGAACCCAAACCTCACATGCCAGACACTCACTATATAGCCTTGAATAAACTAACTGCCCCATTTGGAGGGTGAGGCTTGCTAGGGCTTGGACCTTGGGCACTCAGCATGCTAAGCCTTTACCCAAGCTGATACTTCCGGCCCCTGTTTTCCCTTCAGTGAAATGGGTGTTAAATATACACCTCACTGTCCTGTGAGGACTTTGGGGCTGTAGTAATAAATAAGATATGAGTTACTTTGGTAGCTGGGCTGAGGTGGGTAGTGGTCCCAGGATTCCTTCCATAGATGCAAAAGGCTAGAACTTAGGGTAGCTAGTTTCCTGTGTTGATCAGGGTCCTCTGTGTCCTGGGGAAGCAGCCTTCGCTCCAGGGAACTCCCTATCTATATAGAAACAAAGGCAATGGCCCTTGCTGGTGAAAGGAAAGAGATTTGGTTGGTCCCAGCTAAAAGGAGATACAAAACAGGTTTAGGGCCCTGAGGGCAGAGGCAAGGGCTCATCTGCTACCCTCCCCCAACCACTCTTCCTGGAAAGGGGGAAATGGGTTGTGGTCAGGTAGGGTTCGAGCTTCCACGTGCCCCTTAACCAGGCCCTGAGGAAGGCGGGACACTGGGGGTCTCAGAAAGGGCTTCTGGGAAATTGGGGAAGAGACCACCCTTGGACGGGGATGGGGTGGGGGTGTGTGTGTAATGGGTGGGGGCAGCTTTCAGTGTCTCCCAGGTAGAACCTGCCCTGCCCATCTATCCTTGAGCCTCAGCCCCTCCCCCATGTCTCTTCTCCAGGTCCCGATAGAGCGACATGATGGTGGAATCAGCATCGGAGACAATCAGGTCGGCACCGTCTGGTCAGAACGGCGTGGGCAGCCTCTCTGGGCAGGCCGATGGCGGCAGCGGGTCCGGGACCGCAGGCACGGCTCCGGCTGCGGGTAGGGACGGTTCAGGCAGGGACGGCGCCAGCGGAGCTGACAGCAATGGCGAGATGAGCTCCACGGAGCTTCTGCAGTTCCAACAGCAACAGGTAGGAGCAGACTGACCCCCCCCCCCAGGCCTTTGTCCCACACCCTCTGGGCCACCGTGTATCACTGCTCTGCCCAGCCTAGCACCCTGGCTTTTAGATAGTGGGAAGGGCCAGCCTCCAGGGGCTTCCTTCCCTGTGTGTCTGCTAATCTGGTGGAGAGCCCGAGCCTGGGGAGCTCAAAGTGGTACTGGGGGCCCAAGTGTATGAAGTCTGAAATAGTCCCAGCAAAGCCATATGGACCAACAGCCTCCTGGGCAGCAGGCTTTGAAGGTCTGTTTTGAGTGGGTGGGTGGGTGTCTTGGCTCTTACAGCTGGAAAACTGGTCATAGTAACCAGGGTTGCCAGGGTGTGCTGTGCGCACAGTGGTGTCTTTATTTGTACTGAGAATCAAGGCTGCCCAAGCTCTGATCTGAGCTGTGAAGAGGTTAAACTTCCAGGCACAGAGTGGCCAAACAATCTGGAAAGGGGCCCAGGAAGGGAGGAGAAAGACAGTCTCTCTCTCTCTCTCTCTCTCTCTCTCTCTCTCTCTCTCACACACACACACACACACACACACACACACACACACCCACGTTTATTTTTTCTTTCTTCTTTCTTCTTCTTTTTTTTTTTTTTTTTTTTTTTTTTTTGTTTTTTTTTTGTTGTTTTTTTTTTCCAGGACAGGGTTTCTCTGTGGAGTCTATCCTGGTACTCCCTCTGTAGATCAGGCTGACCTCTGACTCACAGAGATCCCCTTGCCTCTGCCTCCCAAGTGCTGGGATTAAAGGTGTGCGCCACCACTGCCCAGCTTATATTTTATGTTTTTAATAATGTGTTGTCTTCATTCTGCACCTAGTATGCGCTTGTGAGTTCAGGTGCTTTTGAAGGCCCAAGTGTAGCTGGAATTATAGACAATTATGAGCCATTTGATATGGGTGCTAGAACTCGGAACTCAGGTCCTCTGGATGAATGGCGAATGTTCTTAAGTGCTGAGAGCCATCTCTCCAGCCCGGCTTTCTATTTTAAAGGCTCACACCCAGTCTGTGTCCTCCCTCGTTTATGCCTCTCTGAAGGGGCACATCTAGGGGTACAGGATGGAGAACCTAGTTAGATTATGAATGAGCGGGGCCCCTGGGTCTCAGTTCCACCCAGGGGTGAGGGTGGAGGCTTCAAGAGAACCAGCCCTGCCAGCCCCGGCTTTGGGAGTCATCTTGTTTGACTTTCTGTTGCTGGTGTCCTTCCTGGCCCTTAGGGGCTCAGCTGGGAAAGTAGACCAGGAGGACCCTTGATGCCCTATACCATCCTTACCTGTGCAGCCAGAGCCCTTCGTGCCTCCTGCAGACATTGCCGTCACCCGCCCTCCTCCCCAACACCACACCCAAGGTTTCAGGGTTGCACTAGAAGCAGGCTCACTGATGTTTCAGTTGATTGGTCCCTTCAAATAGGGCCTGTCCTCAGCCAGCACCTTAGCAGCCACATCGTCCTGGCCACTAAAATACCGAGTTATCAGGACTAGAAGCACGGGTGTGGTGCTCCTCAAGTAGGTGTGAACAGGTAGAGGAGTTAACAGTTTCTGTGTGTATTATTTGCATATGTGTGCTCCTGTGTACCTTCCTTAGTCACACTCCATCTTGGGGGGGGGCGGTATCTTAGTTTTCTTTTGAGACAGGGTCTCACTATTAACCATGGCTGGCCTAGAACTTGCTAAGTAGACCAGGCTGTCCTGGAACTCACAGAGATCTGCCTGCCTCTCTGTGTTGAGATTAAAAGAGTAAGCCACTACACCTAGCATCTTAGTTTTTATTGTGTGTGTGTGTGTGTGTGTGTGTGTGTGTGTGTGTGTTTGTGTAGTGTGGGGCTTTGGAGAGTCTTCTGTCATGTGGGACCCAGGGATTGAACTCAGATCTTCAGGGATATGATCCTTGGGGTGCTGGTGGGTGGTGTCATCATCCTTCTTAAGCAGAATCTCCTCGGGAAGAGGCCCACTGAGTCTGCATTTTCTGCTGGGATAACATCTTGTTGTTGTTGTTGTTTCTTAATCAAAATATAACTAAATGTGGGTTCTTGCAGAGGCTTAGGTTTGAGTCGCAGCACCCACATGGCAGCTCAGACATCTGCAATGCCAATTTGGGGATTCAGTTTATTAGAAATAAATCTTTAAAAAAAAAAAAATACACCCCTAGGAGTTTTCTCCTAGGCCAAGCTGTTTGGGACCCTCCTGTGTCTCTTTGCAAGGAGAATTATGCAAATGTGGCAGAGGGTTGGAGGAGCTTCCTAAACTGGAAACAAAACCAAAAATCCTTGGGTCCAGCAAAATGGCTCAGAGGCTTGACACCAAACCTGACAACTAGAGTTCGATTCCCAGGACCCACAAGGTGGAAGGCGAGAACTGACTGAGCAGATTGTCTCTTGACCTTCACACATGCACTGTGGTCTGTGTACACACATACATACCCACAGAATAAATAAATAAAGTGTGATTTTCAAAAGGAGAAGAGAAAGTTTGCCGTGAGGCATAAACACAGGCCTCTGGGTAACTGGGAAGATGTTTGGGCGGGAGACAGAACCTTCTGTACTGATCAAGTTTCTGGGCTCTGCCCTGTACATGGTCATGACTTACCATCTCAATTCTACGTTCCAGTTGTTCCTGTTTGTTTTGGGGACCATCCCAAAGTCCTGAAAAATCCTGTATCAGCTTCACAAATAATCTGGGATGGGGTTTTGAAGGCAGGCAAGGGGCTGTTATATCCATTTGGGCTCACCATGGGCTAAGTGCCCAGGCCCAAGGAAAATACGCGAGATTGGAAAAAAGGTTTCGTTGGCTCCAAACTTCAAAAATAACACTGCAGAATTAAAATGATAAAATATTCAGTTAAAATGAAACATAGTCTGTGGGTCATTCTTCCACTTCCAACAGATGAATTGGGGCTTTGGGGGGAGAACATTCAGCAATTCTTGGTCCCCAGAAAGCAGATGTCATTATTGGCAGGGTAAGCCAGATCAAGAAAGGGAAGTCGATCTGTTGGTTTCACCTGTCTTTCAGCCATAAGCAGGAAGTCTGTAGGAGACAGCTTTTGGATTCGCTGTGTCATTAAATGTCATTAAATTGCTTTAGCATCCCTGGGGAGGGAGGCCATGTCTTTCCCACTTCACAGATGGGGCAGCCAGAGGCTGCACTGACAGCCTGCCTCATTTAGGGCTCAGCTCTCTCCTTGCCGCTCCCACTACAGCCACAGTCACTGGGTGATGTGGGAGGAAGAACTTCTCACACGGTAGGCACTAAACAAGAAAGAAAGGCAGGGGCCGTGAGATGATGGGTAAGAGCACTAGCTGAACCCCAGCCCCAGAGCCCACCGTGGAAGAGGAAAACCAGAGGCTGAAAGTTGTTCGCACACTTGCACCGTGGTACCTGTGTACCTGCACACATGGCCACACAATAGTATAATGATAATAATAATAATAAAATACAGTGTGGGGGAGTAAATTTAAAGCCAAGTATAGTACAGGAAGCTGAGATGGAGAGATCTCAAGTCTGGGTTACTGGGTGAGACCCTATCTCAGACATGAGCAGCCCCGGGACTCTGGAGACAGCTGAGTGGGGGAGAGAGAGACTGGTGTAAAGCATGAGAGCCAGAATTTTAGTCCCTAGCACCCACATAAAAGTTGGGTGTGGTGGATGGAACAAACCTATAATCCCACATAGTATGTTGGAGTGGAGGGGGACAGGCTGGCCTTTTAGTCAAGTTGAAACTGTAAGCCCAGATTCAGTGAGAGACACTGTGTCTAAAGTTGAGGAGGGAATGGGGGTGGACTAAGGGTTGATACAATTAGAATACATTGTATACATGTCTGTAATGCTTGAAGAATAGATAAATTAAAAAAAAAAATGAAAGTAACAAGGCAAAACAATTGAGGAGAACATCCCGATATTAACTACTGTCCTCAACACACGTGCCTGCACAGGTGAGCAGCCTGGCACACACGTGAACACACACACATACATACACACATGCGCGCGCATGCACAAGGGCCCCCACGGCAAATGTCAGTACGTAGGTGGTGGAGGCAGGACATGGGTGGAGAAATTCAAGGTCATCCTCAGGTACATAGAACTGGAGGCTAGCCTACATGAATCCCTGCATCAAAAAGTGGGGGGGTCAGGGGGAGACTGGGATGGCCCTACCCACTGCCCTAAGTGGCCAGCCACTCCGCTACCTGCTCGGAGGCAGGGCTGGACAGAGGGGCTCTGCATACGTGTTATGTGCTCCTGCCTTCCTAGGGTCTCCCTGTCCCAATCCCTTTGTCTATGGGTCTCCGGCTCTTTGGTAAACAAGTCCTGGAAATGCAGTCCTGGCCTTTAGGAGTAATGAGTTGAGAGACAGCCAGACAGGGCGAGTCACAAGCCAGGCGGCTGACAGGACTTTAGGCTGGAGCAAACAGTGCTGAAGAGGGCAGCCACGTCACTTTGGAATAGGAGCTCTGTTTCCATGCAACAGCAGGCTGGGGCCTTGTTTAAACAGAGGTGAGGGGGCGACCCAGCTTAGCTGCCAGGCCAGTTCAGGCTGCACGGAGTATTTCAGTATTTCCTAGAGCCTTTATTGCTAACAGCCACTGCACTACCGAACTCTATTATCTCCCTGCAGCCGAAGACTCTGTGGAGACTGTCCTGTGAAGTGGTGTGGGAGGACCAGAGAGAGACCTTTCAGACCCTCTCTTCAGCAGAAACACTAGGCCATGGGGATGTATGTAGCTCAGTTGGCGGAGTGCTTGCCCTACATGTGTAATGCCCTGGGTTCGATCCCCAGCACAGAAGTTCAAGGTCATCTCCTGGTACCATACTGACTGGGATCAGCCTGAACACGGATGGCACAGTAACTTCTGCTGCTGAAATTGCTGTGGTGACCCACAAATGCCCTTTGGGCTCGGGCTGTGAGAGGTGTGTCCCTGCCCTGTTTTTTTTTTTTTTTTTTTTTTTTTTTTTTTTTTTTGCTGGCAGACAGCTGGACTTGGGGCCAGGGGGG